GCTCTAGTATTCCTACAAAATATATTTTGGCTATTTCATTTCGTTAATGGCACAAGCACTCTTTGACTTGGGGAATGGCACAAATGACAATATTGCTTTTGTGAGCGTTCTTTAAAAAAAATCTGTTTTTCTACATAATATAAAATAACAACATGTGTGTAGGTGTTGTGTGATTCGTTTTGTCATCCTTTAATTCAATTGTTTTGTCGTTAATGCTTTAAATTCAATAAATTTTGTATATAATTTTATACTTATGTCCCATGGTGACATAGCCTTGTTTGTGATTTGATTATCTGTTTTCTTGAACGCGTAAACGTCTATTCCCTAATGAAAAAATCATCGCGATCATGATATATGTTCGTAATAACGATTGTCATACAATTCAAGAACATATAGTAATTTGATATTTTATTTCAAATATTGCATTTGCACTACAATATGTTTAATTTAGATTATTATTCACGTTTTGCAATGTAACGGAATTGAGACCATTTCATGTAATTCCTGGACAATGTTTTTAATTAATGGATTAGCTCAAAGATTGTACTGTAAATAAAATGAGAACAAAGACCAACATAAATAGCAGCAAGGCAAGGCAACATTCACAGAATGTTTGTGCATCCGGTGTCCTGTGGAGCATCTTCCCACTGATCCAGTTGTTGGATGGTGTTGCGGAATGCGATCATTGAATGCCGCCCTTTCTTGTTGTTCTTTCTTAGGTTAAATATTTTAGAATCAGAATACAATGTGATAATGCCATCTGTTTTACACATTAAGATACATTATGGTCATCAATGCTATTTCTTTGATTTTATATTTAAAGTACTGTTATATTTTCAAAATTTGTACTTATTGGCACTGCTTTCATTCTTTTGTTTCTTTTGCTACACTGTATTGGTAAAATAATACATGAAGTGACTAAGTATAATTTATGGAAGTCAATGTCAAAATACTACTTTATTTCACCCTTATTTCACATTCAGCACAATTTTTAACGTGATAAGCATTTTTGTGTTTTTCATAATTTATTAAAACGTTATAATACAAATGTTTACAATTAGCCGCTTAAAGGGAACATTCAAATTCAATTTTATTGTCATTATATCTGTACCAATACATCCCAAATCAAATTGTTATAGTAATTTCTTGAATGATTTTTTATCGTATTTGACGATTTTGAAAAACAATTTTAGAACATTTTCTTTTAAAGAAATAACTTCGTGTATGTTTATTAATTCAAATATGTTTTTTTATTTGAAATTTGAAGAAAACATTGGATAAGTATGTTTATGTCTTTTATCAAATTTCGCCTCTTGGCGCATTAAAATTTGAGTTGTCAATTAACACGTTACTGTAAATAGAGGTAATAAATTTGGTTTCCAAAGACACCACATAAATGAACTTTATAAAGCGATTATTAATGATGGGTATCAGTTAAAAGCCATAGTTTGATAAATGAATCATTACGTCTCCCGTTTTTGTGTCGCCTCTACGGAGTAGTGGCGACATATAGGGATCACTTCTCCGTCGCCTGTCTGTCCGTCTGTCTGTCCGTGACAAAACTTGTCCGGACTACTCCTCATAAAATACTGGTGCAATTTCATCCAAACTTTAAAGGAATGATCAGTACCAAGTCTAGTTGTGCATATTGTCAGCATTTTCCGGTTCAGTGATTTTTGTCAGAGTTATGGCCCTTTAATAATTTTTAATTTTAAAGTTTGTCCGGACTACTTCTCTTATACCACTAATGCAATTTCAATGAAACTTTACAGGATTGATCTGTAGCTCAAGTCCTTGCGCATATTGCACTGGTTTTTCGGTTGAATGATTTTTGGCCGAGTTATGGCCCTTTGATAAAAAGGTGTTTTTTTCTGTGTGTTGCCAGATACGCAAAAGCTTGTCCGGACTACTCCTCATAAACTCATAAACTACTGGTGCAATTTTATCCAAACTTTACAGGAATGATCAGTTCCAAGTCTAGTTGTGCACTGTCTGTCTGTCTGTCCGTCTGTCACAAAATTTGTCCCAACATGAAATTGGCCATCATGAGGCGACACATGTGATAACTGATCGCTCTTGTTCATTAACACGTTAAAGAATATTGTGCTGCCCTTTCTGTAATTCAAATATATGGCTTTTTTATCATGGTGTGAATTCAAAGTCATAGAAATATCTGGAAAAAGGTGATCCCTTGGGAGCATTAAAACAGTACAATTACATGAAAATTGCAGACTCGGAATGATCGAGTCTATACATGAGCAATCATGAAAAATGCAACATCCCTAACGCCCGCCATAGCGCCGGCTTGATAGGTATTCAAGAGCGGTTCTCAATTCTTAACACTGAAAGATATAATTGAAAATAATCACATATTATCGATTATACTTTTCACTATGTTTACGTATTCATACGCGCTAACAAAAAGTAAACAAACATGGCGGACTGTACATATTGATGACAAAGGTTGTGGCACAATAACAGAAAAATTTGTGAGAGGTTTTGGGACATTTTATTATGGTAACATGTTTTTTTAACGAATTCTGAATTTGAATATGTAATAGAAGCGGAGAGACTAAAATTAGCAACCAGTTCAACATCGACAGAATCAACAGTACAGACGACAGATCATTTCAAAACCAACACTACCAGGTTCCATCATGTAGAGAAAGAAAACATTCCTGACTTTATTTAAATAATAATCAATCAGAAATACTTAAAGCAAAACTATGTACGGTTTCATGCTTCTTATGTGTTTTTTCGAATCTCGCCGTTAGAGAAACGAGGAGCCTCCATGCAGAGAATTTGCTCAACTTTTGAGCCGCTTTTCCTTAGTTTGGAGAATTCAAATGGTGAGGACAATGAACCTTCAAGTTTCAGGGGAATACTATCAGGTTTTGATAGACAATTACGCAGGCAAGTAAATACTAAATATCACATCAATTCATGTTTTTAACCCCCATTCACCAAACCAACCTTTGAAAAAGTTTAGACCTATTTCGTACTGCATGTTTATTATATATCTGTTGTTATTTAATAATTAACTGTACACAAACAAACGTAAGAGCAATAAATCTAAGTAAGATATTTTGGGAAATATTTTCTACAACTTTCTACTATAACTAATAATCTAAAGAAAAACGAGCCCAAAACATGAACATGATTTTTGTTTTTGTTTTAGGCATAATTATAGGGAATATATTGCCACTGGACCTGGGTTTTCTAAAGTGCGAGAGGCTCTTAAAAGCAAACATTAACAATTTAAATGAAATGGTAAAGGTAACAAGCCACAAAAGAGTGAGCCAATCTTTGATGCAGAAATAATATCTATGTAGGAAACTAATCGAAAGGGATCAAGTACACCGGACAGCATTTTACAAACTCTTTGGTATTATACTCCTTTTTACTTGGTCAAGGGGATGAGCTGAAAACCGTGCCATGTGCTGGGGTGATGTTTATCTGAAACTGGCCCAGAATATCTTGAATTTACAGAAAAACAAACCTATACGAAGACGGGTAAAAATCCAAGAGATGTCAGTGCAGTAAAATCTAATATTTGGTCCAACATAGAAAATCCTAACAAATGTCCTGTTGAAATCTATAAGAAAACATAATTATGCAAAAAACGTCCAAGTTGTAACTCTGTGCCACTCATCCTTATTATATAGCTTCAACAACAAAATCATTCTCTTGTTGTGATGATACATGGTTTTAACGCAATCCTGTTGGTCTAAATAAACTCCAATCCACAGGCCACATATCCCAAGGGTGATTCAACAGTATACAATATACAATTGTAAGCCGACATGTACACTTCAAATTTATGTCGCTCGCGGTATGATGAAGACATGTATAGTGACGTCATACGTTAATGCACAATTGTGTCAAAGTTAATCTCTTATATTAATGATGACATGAAATGCTTATTCATGATAGATATTTAGAAAGCATAACAATAGATTAATATTCAAAAATAAAAATTATTGAATTTAAAATTGTTGCACTATTTTATTTGCCCACGTATGTTTAACATTATTACTCACGGACCGCGTTATCTACTAAAGGTCAACTGAGTCTACTCTTGGCATATTTAAAAGGGTAATTCGGTTTAACATGTGATAAAAAGAATCTTACACTCGTGTCTTTTCATATTGAATATATTAAACGAGTTGCATAAAAGTGATGAAATACTCTTATTTTATCATTTTTTATCATTTTTATTTTTATTCAACTCGTTTAATAAATTCAATATGAAAAGACACTCATGTAATAATCTCTATGTTTCTTTTTCTTTTTAAGTGGAATGTCTGCTCTCTCTCTATCAATTTAAGCGTGAACATTTGATTCATTATTTAAAATTGTAAAATGCTGTTGAAGAACGCCACTAAACTCGTTTGGGTTTTAGTTTCGCCCAAGGTACCATGATCACCGCCATATAAACACAAATGCAGATGTTTCTAAATTCAAACTGTTACCATTACATTTTCAAATGTTCAAAACTGTTAAAGCCGGTGCTTGCGGGCGCGGGTGGTAGCTTGCACTTTCCTGTACTGTCCATGAATAAGCTAAATCAAACCAAGCCTGCAACGTCTTCAATTTTGTCGTTTTTGACCTTTTTTGGGGAGGGGATTCCTTTTCTCTCTATTTGTAGGGGAAAATGTGGGAGGATCTATGATCTATGATCAATCTATCAGTTGGAACTGAGTTGGATACCGTAAGATCTCCCCCTTTCCTTTTCTGTTTAATTATCCGTTTCTGTTATTAGGCCGGATGTATTATTGGAGGTAGAGTGTGATATATTTCAATGTTTATAATATTATAATAACTGTCACAAACAATTTATAACTGTCAAGTATTGTCTACTTATTATTACAATCATAATTATTATTTTATATTTAAAATAATTTTTAATCAGTTCTCCTCCTGTTTCAGGATTTTCTTACCATAAAAATTGGCTCCTCAAAACAAATCATATCAAGGAAGTAAAGTAAGAACATGTAGTATCATTTTCAAACATAGCTTGATTTATTGTTATTTTATACTGAAATTATAATCATTACAAATGATTGTCTTCGTAAAGATGTGTACTTATATGAATTATGAAGCACAAATAGATCTTTAAAAATAGTACAAGGTACAAATAGTATCAACAAAGCAAAGTTCTTGTCTCTTATAGGTTCCATATTGTGTTTTAACTTCTTGTCCTACAAATGCACCTGATTTTACCTTAATTATACCAATCGAAAAATCCAATTTCCTGCAGCTCTGTCCTGAATTCTTCTAATTCCTGATCAGTTGGACCTCTCATGGGTGACCTTGCTGGACCAAGGTCAACATTTATCAACGTCATGAAGGCTTTGAGAGCTGCAACGTTGTTACCAAGAAGATCGCCTGCATTAGATATTTTTGGCTGATTTATATATGAAGATACAACACAATGCTTCTCAAAATAAAATTTAACATTTTGATTCTTTATATCTACAGTGCAACCATTTTATAATACATGTTTTCTTTATTAAGTCACATAGTTCCCTGGCGACTGTACATTATTGTTCAAAACTGACAAAATAAATAAGCCAAAAACAATGCCATTATTTTGCCAAAGTAAATTAAAGTAACCCCCACAAGATTAATCAATATAAAAACAATAGATTGAAATACAGCATACAAGAATAATATTACAATGCAAGCAATTTCTGAACTTCCATTATAACTCATATTGTTTGTGATTAACGGTACGTTAAGAAGGACAATGCCTTACCGTGCTTATACATTACTTTACAAGTTTGCTGAGTACGGTACTGATGAAGACGTGCTTCGTTGATGTCACCCTTTGCTGTGTTGTCTAATATTTTCCTGATGACACTTGCCATAAAGTTATATGTACTGCCAACACCTCCATCAGCTCCCATGATCATACCCGCCATAAGTTTCTTCATATGAAATGAAATAATATATACGTTCATTGTTTATGCTTTAAAGGTCCATTATGACACAAAAATGCTCTTATTTTATTTCTCAAAAGCTTTTTAATTTTGGTGTAATTTTATAAAATCAAAATTGTTACTTATCAATTACCTGAACCACCGTTTTCATCTGTTACGTTTTGGCAATAAGTACACTTATATGAATATGTATTTTGTATAAAAGTCAAAATACATTTTACCACTTTTATTACAAAATAATTTCACATTTATCGTTACTTTCTTCAGGTAATAAGCATCTAACATTCTCTAAAACTCTAATTATTCCAACATTAATTGCCCTTTCTAAAGAAGAAAAAATATTTGTTTCTGAGGCATTATCGCATAATGCTCCTTTGAAAACACCTTTAATTAATTATCAATCATTTCAAAAGGCACCTAGTTGTTTCTTTTTCAAAATTTGTTACAAAAAATAAGGACCGATGCTACTGGTGTAAGGTATAATACTTTAAGCAAACAGCATAAATTTGGCTATATTGGGGCTGTTTATTAAAGGCAGCGATCCTTAATTTGCCTTTCCCTGTTTTAATTGAGCCTTCATGGGCAGTTGAGGTCTTTACATTGTCTATTAACGGTCGCCAGTGATATTTATTATTAACAAATTAACAAATTTAATGCATCTAGATATTCACATGGTCGTACAATAAGCTCTATTTGAAGAACCAGATATTCAAATGTTGCATATGACCTTTTATAAAAATCGTTTTCCTGTTGATATTTTACAGATTTAAATAGCATTGGTGTTTTACATGAATTGTCTCAAGACAATGGTATATGCGCTTTATCAAACACCCACCCTTTTCCTTTTCTCACGTCTAAATAAAGATGTGGTATAGTTTTTGTAGTATGGTTAGAATGCACTAAATTATCATTCATGATCTTGAAAAGCACAACACAGAACATCTTTATTCTTTAAAAATGATTTATGTATACGTGGAAGCAACTAAATATCATTTACTTCAGCTGAGTTCACTGTTGTATTCTGGTTTTGCATGAGGATAATATGGTACAGACAGTCTTTGTATGGTTATTAGAAAAAAAATCAACAAGGCAAGGCAACAGTCTTGGAGAATGCATTCACATAATATCAAGCCATACTTCATCACTAGGAAAGGACCCAGTTGGACACCGAATGGGACAAAGAAATAAGGAATGGTCATAGTACTATATAGCTGCAAATAGGGAGTGAGCGAATAAATTGATTAATTCAACCAAAAGGAACCTTTAAATATGCCTTATAAAAGGAAGTTGGATTAAAAGAAGGAGAGGGCAATAATGGAGTGGGTGTTCGGGGAAGTTTGACATTGAATAAAAGTAGGGGGGCGCTGAAGTCAAAGAAGTTTTGTTTATTGCTAAATAAATGGCTTCTACATAGGAACGTGTGAAGGTGTATCATACTGTTTTTAAATGAAATTAGTCACTTTATTATCTTTCAAATTCAATCGGTTTTGCGTAATATTGCACATTTCTTTTCCCTTGGTAAAACAATCCTGTATTGAATTTTATTATCTAAATTTTTGAACTGTCTTGAAGTTATTTTCCCTCATGGAATTTATATTGCGCTCATAATATAATAATAATAATGTTTGTCAAACAGTTTTCAAAAATATTTATGCTGTAAAATGTCATATTGTTCGAAACGTCATAGCTATATCATTATGATTTTTTAAATTACTCTCCCATACAAGGTTGTTATTTCAGAAATCTATACTTTAAAAATATCCATACGTATTTCACAATTATTTTAATCGATATATAAGACTATACACTAAACACTTCTTTGTACATTTTCTGCGCGGAGGAAGTGTTGTAAAGTGGTTTGGTATCTTCACACTTTGTTCAGAAAGCACTTCTGATGAAAATTGCAATATATATATTGCTTTTTTTTGCAGTATTTTTTTCAACTCGATACGGCTCTTTGGAAGTACGTACTGCTGCTTTTAACTCTAATTCAAGACTTAGATTACAAAATGAAACGTTGCAGAGATTTGCTAAAAAAACATCAGAAAAATGTCAAATCTTTCAGCAAAACATGTATTAGTTATCCTGCATCAAGTAAGGAATCATATGGACCTGTGGTGCAATTTTATCTTTGAATAAATATTTATTTTTCAGAAAATTTATTTCAAGTGCCATGTGTGGGAAAATTAGTTCAACAAAATTCATATTAAAACCATTTCAAATATAGTTTAAATATAAGTTACTATCAACGAGGGAAGCACCACACGAAATGTAGTCCATATAATATCCGCAGACAGATACATTGGAGAGGGCATACAATGCGATATCAATGGGTAAAGGGGCCAACATAGAGTACATGGAACTGGCAGAGAAGATAGGGAAAAACGGACAGATAATTAGTCAATTTACCTCGTCACAACCATACATGAGGTTAAACTTTTTATCATCTCTGTTTGGTGCTGGAACGTGTACGCACCCAATAAGGTCAACCAAATCTTTTGAGGAGAATTTTACACCCACGAGTGAAGGTATTTCTTTCACGGCAGCTTTTAAGAAGTCTTCAACACAAGCTTTTGAAAAAATACAAGAAATTACATAAAACTGTTCGAAGGAAACATATAGTCATTGCAACAACAAAATAATTTTAGCTTGCTATATTTCCTTTTAGATTGTAAATAAATGCATTGAAATGTATTATATATATTTTAAAGAAATGAGCTAATAAAGCAAGCGATATACTGTAATGTTTACAACCGATAAAAACATGTAAGATTCATTTGGAGTGTTTTTATTCCTTCGTAGTGTAAACTATATAGTCATGTAAATTCAACTTAATATGATTGAGTTATATAATCATAATAATAAACAGAGCAATTAATTTCAATTAGTTTTTGTCCATTTATAAGCAAAAAATCATTCAATGACATGCAGATATATGCAACACATGGTACATTTAAACGTATTGATAACATATACATTTACATCATACCATTGATGTAAATGAACAAATCTGGTTGTGTTAAATCATTTTCGATAAAATCCGAAAGTAAAAACATTTATCTAAATAAATCACGATCAAAAGGAAGAGCTACATACGTTCAACACCAGTTGCCCCAGGCAAATGGTAAAAATAAAACGGAAGGTTTGGTGCAGCATTCGCAACTTCTCTACAATATTTGACAAGATAGTCTGAAATAAATATGGGCAAATTTCTTTTGGTAAGAATTGTTTATATTTTCTTTATTTTCTTGGGCACACAACAGGTTTCCTTTGTAATATAGTTATAAAGGTCTATTTTAGGCACACGCATTGCATTTGTAGTACAAAGGTACTATTAAGTTTTGTTGAATAGAATGGCGGCTAGGCCGGGTGGTTAATGCGTCGAACTAGAAATCTAATCATTGTTGGCCCGTGGTATCAAACCCAGTCAGACGGTGTTTGGGTGAGCAACATTTTTTTATTAAAAGCGTGTTTCCAGCAACTGGATCGATAAGTATATAGCTCCCCACACTTCCGAAATAAAAATAAACTAAAAGTAATGTTGAATGATACACATATCGGAATTTAAAACAGACAAAGTCATGTCAAGAATAATATATCGCCTGTCGAAATAAAGTGTATAAATTTGTTTAGAATTCAGTCAAGAAAACACGTTGACATTACATTTCTCGGGTTGACAATTATTACTATCAATCTCAGAGGTCACTTTGAAAGCAATCGGAGTTATTTTGTCATTACTTTTATGGAAATCTTTGTCGCAAAATCACAAAGGCATATTTATCTGCTAAAAATTAAAATTTAAAATCGAAAATTGAAATATATGTCTTTCCTTAAATCTGAACAAATTCTTATAAACATGCTTATGTTTTTACAGAAATAAATATATTCATAATAAAAGATATTTGGCTTACCCACTGTTTTTGGCTTAAAGAAGAGTGGTGGTACAGTCGCAATTGCATCAGCCCCAACTTTCACAGCATGTTCCGCCTACCATTTAACACAGACATAAATGAGAGAAAAGCATTTGAAATACTAAAATAAGCCACACAAATAAAAATATTATGCTTGAACATTGTGTATTTAACACAGAGCATAAGTTAATAAATGAAAAGCATACGTAACCTATTCTGTTTAGAGAGTTACATTGAACTATCACAAAAATAAATTGAAATGATTTATAGTTCATCAATGGATCTAAATATTTATCAATACATATTTAAAGATAGCTAAATTCAGACAATCTAAAATCGCATACTAGTATATTTATCCATCTGAATCAATGGAAAAGGATTTTTAAAAGTGAAAACATTTGTGAAAGGGAAAAACTATTTTAAGTGACCTAAAAAGATTTACTTTTTACCTTTTTTCCAAATAAATGCTCTAATATTTTAGTAAGCTTGCGTTCGATCATATTATATAAATATTTCAAAACACAAATGTACATGTACGCTGGTAAAGTTTTGCAAAGTTGTACGCCTCCAGATTCATGCTATTTTCCATGCATTTTTTCAACATGTTTTTGAAAATAACATACTGTTAAGTGAACAAAGAATGTAATTTATCCATAACGCACTTACATTCCACATAAATTACCAAAAATATGCAAAATTAGCCCTTACTGTGATATTCACGCAAAAGAAATATAGTGATCAGTCATTAAAGGTCACATAAGATGTAAATTATCATTTGAATCTTGTATCATTTCAGACGCAATTGCATCAGCCCCGACACACATGTTTCGCTTAGATTTTCCTTAAAATCTTAAAAAAGTTTGATTTTCTTGCAACATTTTATCTGGAGGCATGCAGATTCAATGCTTACACATGTGATTTTCATTATCAATAAATGCATGATATTAATATTTTTTCAGTACATTACCATTGCTATTGTATCGTGAAGATTCAAAGCACCGACCTGCACTACGATTGACTTTATTTTACCACTGTGAATTAATAAACATTAAAATGTTAGTTTCGTTTCAAACGGTGTGCAATTTCAGTAACATGTAGATATCAATTATAATGCTTGACTGTTTACCACTATTTTTGTAGCTTGATTAAAGTTAAGGACATGTGTACAATGTTTTTGATACAATGTCAACGTGAGTGAGCATCCCACCAGAATGGCTTTAGGCGACAAAGTTTCGCAACAGACCAAGTAAATAGTGTTTGTTTTTTTCAAATAATATTTCAAGAAAAATTTATGACCCATGTGATTAAACATATAATATTATGGGTAAAAATAGAATATGAATCGCGAACTTTTAAACACATTTAAATATCAATTGTTAGGCATAATTCTTATTATGATTCAAATAACTATAAGAAACCACTCTGGATACAATAAATATCTATTTTACAAGGTTGATCAGCCTTCAATATTTCGAGGGATTAAGCCCCTCTTTATTAAGGTAATAGCAAACCCCTTGATTAAAAAGGTAATGTAATGTCTATAATAGTATTCAAAATTGATTGAAAACATTGACACCATTTGCCATACGTTTCCACAAGTCTAGATGATCTATTGCATACCTCTTTTTTCCAACCTCTATCCACTTTTCTACAATCTTTTCTCTTTCTTCGAGTGTCAACGAGAAACCTTCACCAGTTGTTCCATTTACTGAATTACAAGGCAAAAGTGTGAAATTTTGAGACTTCACTTTCATTTTGTAATTTCTCTAAGTGATTCTAAATAACATATTTCCGACAACATTTATGTTTTTAAACAAAGTCATATATCAATAATGTTTGACTGTTTTAACACTTCTAAATTCAAGTTTAGGACCTGCGTACGTGGATTTGAATGAGTATCTCATTGAAAGTGTTACCATTAAACATGTTGAACATCAAGCTCACAAAGATTTTTATCAATAAGATGATAAGCAAATTAAAAACCAGTGCTTTGGTTAGTCAAACATGTTTATCAGTTAGTAAGATCTGTTTGTTTAATTCATATGGGCTACATGTATCCTATATAAGGCAAGGTGTTTCAAAAAGGTATTGAGTTAACAAATTCACATAGTTTGGTAAATTCTATGTTGTTTAACTGTCATTATTATAATATTTATCAACATGTTTTTAAAATCGTAAGATTGTCCATTCATAATATACAACGGATCTGCAAAGATTGTCGACTTCGACTTCTTTATTTGTATCTTTTCTTGCAAAACAGTTCATTTCTTAAATATTTAGCGACAACGAGAGAAAGAAAGCATTCTGCGTATTAAATAAACACTGTTATTTTATGCTAGATAAAGATAACTTACCATATATTTGGGTGATTCCTTTGCTTGTAAGATGGTTACAATACATTTCAAACTTGTCGTAATCGACTTCCCTGAAAAAGATGTACAGTATAAACACAATGGGCTTTATCTATTTGCAAGCAACACTAGTGTATAATTAAAAGATTTCTTGTTGCCCTTTGAGTGCTGAGATACAGCAGTCAAGTGTGTCCATTATTTCTTCACTGACTCCTCCTTAATTCTATTATATTTAAATTGATATTTGAACCGGTATTAGTAGGCCAGATACGTTGATATGTTGCTTTTTACTTTGCATCACATGAACAGGCTAAGTGAAACCAAATCTGTAGTATTACCTTTTTTGACATTTTGTTTCCATCGCTCTCAAGGACTTCTAAGTCTACACAGTTAATCTAATTTATCTATTTATAATTCGTTTGTTTTTAAATATCATGTTTTATAGAATACGAATCCTAAATAATAAAAAATATCGCTTAATTATAACCATGAAGTCAACAGTCTGTGTTAAAGTTAATATCTATATTATATTTTGTCACTTAAGTGGGTGTTTTACTCTATGCCATCATTACCATATGGGGGCCTGCGTGTTCATAACTGCTGGTAATCACAAACACGTAAGCTTCTTACTTTCACTACTGTATAAAGGAAGGGTACACGACACTTAATGTTAAGCCTAATTTCGTTTTTATTTTTGGTCACATTGTTTTCATGAAATGTATTAAATTGGTAGTCGGAACAGAACTTAGTTTTTATAAGTGAAACAGTTTGAGTATAGTCCGAAGAAAACAAACCGGGCATAAAGTCGAATGGAAGATATGAAATTATAAGTCATAATTAGTTTTCGAAATTTACAACAAATGACTTACCCATCTTTTGTCATCGGTGTAAAAACCGCAGGTACCAAACCTTCAAGTTTGAAAGATCCGATCTGTAAATAAAACAAACACAAATAAGAGTGTAATCGATGTTGAAATAATTGATATGATAATATACTTGGAAATGCTGTAAATTTGTCACGCAAATTTTGAGTCATTCATTACAGATGATTTACCGATAATAAAATGCCCGGTATACTTATATATTAACGTTTAAGATATTTGTCATCGTAATTACAAAGATAGCAAAAACAAAATGGTTATAAAGAATTCCTTCCAAATAAATAAAAATGCATTATGAGCATTCGTCGCAACAACTTTATGATTTTATGATTCAACTTGTCGTGTTAATATGCAGGAATGATTTCATTCTTTTTTTGACATTTTCTGCAGTGATATATTAATCTGTATACTTCACATTTTAACCTTACTGTAATATAGTAAACACCAGAATCAAGTAAGATATGCAAGGTCAAGCTTAATTTAACGTTTGGCATTTTCTGAATAACATATAATCATATTTGGTACAAACAAACATGTATTTTAATTTATATTTCTGTGTTTAACATAAAAGATACTGATTTCTTTTTAATTTTATGTATATTTAATGTCAATCATCTATATGAAACAATTAATAAACTGTACTTCCAGTGCATTTTTGTCAGTATATTTCTCAGATGAAGAATATATAAGAAAATATTCATACGAAAGAAGTAGCTTACCGAAGACATTATCTGTTTGTTCGTGTATCTCCTTATTGTACGTAAATGGAGTATAGTTGTAGTTAAATACACTCACTTTATCCTACATACCTATAATCATCTACATATATATGATAATTTATACATCTTAAATTTGTTTGCTAAGTAGAGATATCAATTTCTAATCTTTATGCGTGGTGTTGTAACATTTGTTGAATATATTAAATATGGATATATATGCATGTGCATAATATTTATAATTACATTTTGTTCGTTATGGCATGATTCTTGATTTTGAGGCATTGAACGTATGACGTCATTTTTTTTACGTGCACCTTTTCCCGCGCTTTTGAAAAAAACAGTGTACAGTCACTGGGTTTTTATTTTTCACTTGTTTTTAAAAGCAATTTGTTTAATGAATTCGTTACACAAGAAACGGGGAAATAAAGCATTGTTGACAAAATATAAATCTCGGCTTGCGCCTCGGGGCATATCTAACTCATTAGGGCTAGATCTATATTATCCCGTAAACAACTGATGTAACAAATAGTATAATGTTGTGTGCATTTTGATGGTTGAAATAATATTGATTTGTATTTGCTTGTTTTATTTATTTATTTTTTTGGTTTATTATTATCAATCATAGATATATGTCAACTGGTTTGTATTATCATTACCAGTATTCCTATGATATTACGGCTTCTGTAATATCACGGTATTTCCATTTTCTGCGACTGCTAGTAAAACGACACATGTACATGCTACTATTTTTATAACCTTCACATTAAATTGTGTACCATCTGTCAATTATAAAATTTTGTGAATAATTAATGTATTCGTGGTAAGAAAACTATTTGATAAAATCTTCATTTAGTTTGCATTGTATAGGAAGTTAACTGTAAGAAGCTTTCCACAACTTTATTTGAAGACTTTGACGTACTATCCTTTCATACTGGCATTTTCGGGGATTACCGAGATACCGTAGTAAACTCCTCTGATATCACCCAAAATGACAGACATTGGAAATAGTTTACAACATAACATTTTAATTGGATCTTTTGTAATAAAATTTTGACAAACAGTATTGGAAAAAGTTCATTAATTAAATAGAAGAAAAATCTTATTCATGTATGATATTAATATTTAAATTTTTTCCGCTAAACGTTAAGTACTGTGATATCATAGAACCCTTGGCTGCATGGTAAGGCGCATGTGCCTCAAAATCTAAGCAAAAACTTGCAAATGTGCAGTTTATTGGTTTATTTGTAAATATCCTTCTCTGATGTCGTGCCCAGCTGTCTAATATCCTCGTGCATGGTCTTCAAGATAACAATAAAACTATGTACACAGTTATTATTTCGTTGATAGTTCTTGTATATTGATTTTAATCTTTGATCTTTAAAAAATTAATAATTTAATCCAAAATTAATAGCAATGATTTATAACATTAACTTATTTCAAACCAAATCTGTATAACTTTATTCTGATATCTTATAGTAAGTCGAAAACACTTAAAGGCAAAAATGAAATAATAAAGGATATTGAATGAGTTTTGCGAGCCTCTGGAGCTTAATTATACGTCAACTTCCTATAACACTAGTGTAATATTGTTTTTATTAAATGAATTTATAACAAACACTAGCCGTGGTTGATGTGATAAACGATGTCATGTGCATTTAAAGAATACCTATTGAATATACTTTATTGATTTAGGTGTACCAGCTCAGCATACTTGTTTTGATGGTAAAATTGGTTAAAACATTAGTTCTCTTTCAAATTATATGTTTTATACAGTAGAGAGTATTTTGTCTTCGAAAGATCAATGACGCAACATGCATCAGGACTAAAAGTAAATAAGCCGAAGACATATAGTTTTCTGTTCTTTTCCACATATTAAAAGCTTCATGAAAATTTAAAAAAAGAGATATTGTTCTTTATAAAATTTTAAAAAAAATATACGAATATACATAAATATATCATATATTACACAACACATAATGCTATATTAGATAGCAAAGTCGATAAAACATTAAATACCTTGACGTGAATAATGTGGCAAAATACTGTGACCATTCAGTCGTCAAATTAAATCCTAAAAAAAACTGCTATATACATTTAAACTGACAAGTCGTGTTATGATAAATATAATAATTATATAATTATTTGCCATCTGCTATAATATTATCAATATGTGTGATCAAATATATCTAAAAGGTATTTTGCTATGACACCTCGATTTAGACGTGATACATGATGAAAATTACTGTCTCAATCGTATTTCCATCATCTTCCACATTTTCTTTGTAATACTGTTGAACAAATGCGGCACTTTCCATTGTTTTGCAAGCTCACTTTTCTGTAAAAGTGTTGCAACATGTCGCAAGTTTGCGCTTTTATCATCATGAACTGTATAATTATGTTGCAGTACGTTCACGCAGTGCTAACCTAGAAATTATTATCTCTTTGGGTTCGTGACATATTGTCAAAATAAACCAAAATCGTGACCATTTTGGTAACTGGGTTATTGTTATACCATTTTGAAAATTGAAAACTTATAAACAGCTGAAAAGTATGGTCATTCATAGTGTTTTCGCAAATCAAAACTTGCCAAACATGTATCCATATAATAAGGATTAATGCCGAAAACTTCATTTTTTTATAAAAAATCAAAATCAAAGTTTGTCATTTTTTATATTATAGGTATAAGATAAGGATAAATCATTGCCGACTGCATTTTAATTAACCGTTTAATTTCATGGAAATTCTTTAATTGTTACTTAATATAATCCTTTCAAACAATGCATGTAAATGTCACCATCAAATATATTGTTTTGAATAGAACAAAAACAAATATGTAGGTTTAGTTTAACCTTTATGGGAAAATTAATATTTTACTGAAAATGCCAATATTTTGTTGGTATCCTTGTTGATTGCATAAGATATACTTTGAGAGGAATTGTTTTCATGAATAGAATTACAAAATTTACTCAATAAATATATTTCAAAGCAAACCGATCTTAGTCGTTAAAAAATGAAGTCTCAAAATATTGATATAACTTGTTTATAAACTGCACATTGTTAAAATGATTGATAACAGTTTATTCCTAAAGCAATCGGTCTTAATTTATGTATTAGTATTTTGAAGGTGTTCTCAGTAGATTGCAATAAAATTATAATATACACAAATCATTCCATGCACAGAATTCAATTCGCAATATAATAATACAAATCACTCCCCGACACAACAATGCATTCCAAGATATCGTAAAATAGTCTCATAACATGTTTTGTCTGCCGAAAAGGAAACGGTTTTGGAAATGCCAAATTATTTTGTGGTAAAATCGTCTAGGATAAGGATGATATCCTTGATATTAAATTATTAATGTATCCTAGAAGACGTGACGACTGACGTGATCTATATTTCAGACAAAAAGCTGGCTGCATGCATAAGGCCATGGCTAAGGCAGAACTTAAGTGCATTAGCAAGTTAAAATGAATTGGTGATAATGAACTAATAATATTGTCTAAAATACAAAGTATGTGCTCATGGTTGACTCCGTTCATTGCATTGATAAAAATATATTTTATTTTCCGTCATATTCTAATGACAATTATAAACATTGTTATAAAAGCTGGATATTTGCGTGTCAATTCATTTTATCGAATACTGTTCCATTACGAATGTAGAATATCTGTTGTGCATATTGCTTCCTACAACAAACCTCTGAAAGCTCTGTCTATTTCCAGTTATACTGAAGGCGTATTCTGTAAATGGCACAACGTAAATATAATGGTCAAAGAACTATAAAGGTCTACACAGGAAATGTGAATACAACGACAATATCGACTCCCTACCAGGCAGTCTTGATAGCTTTAATGTCTTTGGCTTCTTCTGTTTGAATTTAAAACTCTTCGGCCGTATAAATAAATGCGTTATACTTTCTTAATGTTCATAGACTAACCATATATTTACGTTAATTGCTTTGCCATTTTGATTTCTAAGAAATTCATTATAAGCTACTGATACTTACCATTTACTCAATGCCTTTATAGAAATGTAATAGTTGATATGTTTTCCTTTTTGGCAATATAGTTATTATACTCTTTAAGATCTATGAAGATCAATCCAAGGTAGCTTTTGAGGAGACATGCCTAGGAAATGTTCAGACGAAAAAGGTCCAAAGGTTCAAAGTCTCGTATAATTGTTGTTCTTTTCAATGTACCTTTTTCCATTTTCTCTTTTAGTATATTGTTCATCTATTTAATTTTTCAATGTATAAACTGTTTCATTTGCATAAGTCAATATTAAAAATATTAATATGGGTGTTATAGTCTTTTCAAAGTATGAAATATAAATTTGATTGTCGTTTTGAACACTATGAAGTTCCGGTGCTGTTTGTTATTAATCAGGCAAGACAATACTGTTTGCTTATAAAAGATGCATATTATACGTTCTGTAAAATAGGATGATAAAAACATACGAGGGTGACTCATGATGTGATGCATATAAAGTATATTTTCTTGTGTTTGTGTAAATGTTGCCATGCTTCAAATCATCTGCTTTCACATGTAACCAAATTCACATGTGTAATCAACCGATTAAGAATTTTATTCACAATTTAGAATATCTTACTTAATTTTTCTTTAAAATATGTCTTTTGAACGTTCAGTAAAAAGGGCTGAAATACGGGCTTACATAAAAGCTGGAGCAAAACTAAGAACATCTGCTATAAATGTTTTAATGATATAACAATTGTGACTTGACTTAAACATTTTGCTTATCTACGCTACAGGAGTAGATAAAAAATGTATAATAATAATAATAATAATGAAGTGGACTCCCAGATAAATAATCTCTGTGTTTTATATGTTTGTTTGTGTGTTTTTTATTCTTTTTGTTGTTTTTTAATGAAAAAGAAAAGAAACAGTATGTAAAAATAACAATAGAATACACAAATATTTCGTGGGTTACATGACAACGATTATCACGATCTTTCGCTCTTGGTTTTTCACAAAATTAGATCAAATGCGGCACTTCTCTTGATGTAACTTGTCAAAACGTAACAGCATGTCTCAGGTGTACGTTTTCCTGGCACGAAACATTTTCTTTTGTTTGGAGTTTCTTCTCGTAATCAAAAAATAGCTATA